AAAGAACCCGCTATGGAAACCGCAACATCGGCAAAGGAGGTCAACACAGCGACTCGACCGTACAAGCACCGCCGCGCTTACCTAAAGATTGCGCCCGTAACAATAAGGGGGCCGCTAAGCTGCGTCGAAACATACGCATTATTGGATGAAGGGAGCACGGTCACCTTAGTCGATGCCTCAATCGCCGACGTCATCGGCGCCGACGGCCCAGCCCACACAATGTGGATACAAGGGGTCGGCTCGGAGGTGAAACACGAGAAGAGCAAGATCGTCAGCTTTAAAATAAGAGGAACGTACGCGCAAGAAGAACACAACATAGAAGCAGCGCGTACTGTAGAGCGGTTGGACTTCGCGCCAGAATCCGTGAATGAAGATCACTTGGGGAATTGCCCACATCTGTTGGATATCAAAGAGGATATCACCTACGAACGCGCCTCACCGAAAGTACTAATCGGGCAAGATAACTGGCACCTCATAGTGTCTAGAAAACTGCGCGTCGGCCGTCGAGACCAACCAGTCGCCTCATACACCAACCTGGGCTGGGTTCTGCATGGCTGTCATAGCTCATTGACGTCGACGGTCACCTTCTGCGGCAGACTACATCAGAGGGAAGATGCACCACCGATAGAAGAAGAAATAAAAAATTATTTCAAATTGGAGTCGCTGTGCATCGAGCCGAGAAGACCGAAAGAAGATCCCGAGCAGCGAGCCATGCAAATATTGGACGAAACCAGCCAGAGGTCAGCGGACGGCAGATTCGAGACAGGGTTGTTGTGGAAACAAAAGGACTTCCAAATACCAAATAATTATAAAGAAGCGGAAAGGCGCCTGCACACCTTAGAGAAGAGGCTCGACCGAGACAGCAATCTCAAGCTACAGTACGAAGAACGCATCGAGAACCTCTTCAACTCGGGTTACGCAGAGCGCGCGCCAATGCCACCGCCGCAAGGAAGGACATGGTATCTGCCACACTTCCCAGTCATCAACCCTGCGAAACCGAACAAACCGCCGAGATTGGTACACGACGCCGCAGCGAAGACAGCCGGAATATGTCTCAACGATATGCTTCACTCGGGGCCCGACTTATTACAATCACTGCCCGGAGTGATCATGAGGTTCCGACAGTATCCGTATGCAGTGAGCGCCGATATAAAAGAAATGTTCATGCAGATTAAAGTGCGCAAAGAAGATAGAGACGTTTTACGTTTCTTGTGGAGAGGCAAGCGGCGGGAGGACCAACCGGAGGAATATAGGATGACGTCAATCATCTTTGGAGCGACATCATCACCATGCACAGCATTATACATCAAAAATAAAAATGCTGAAGAACATGCAGAAGCGTACCCAGAAGCTGCGGTCGCCATAAAAAGAAACCATTATATGGACGACTACTTGCAGAGCTTCCACTCTGTCACGGAAGCTCAGCAAACAGTAAAAGCAGTCGATCACGTCCACAAACAAGCGGGATTCGTACTCAGCGGGTGGACATCGAACGAAGAAAAAACAATAGAAGAAATAACGACAGAGCATAGACAACACGACGCGACCGTGTGCCTGGGCGGAAAAGAAACTGAGAAGACGCTAGGGCTGCTCTGGCATGTACAAAGCGATCATATTGGATTCAATACTAACAATATGAAGATGCCTGCCGACGTAAAAGAAAAACAACGCTTGCCAACTAAACGAGAAGCGTTGAGCGTCATAATGGCATTATTTGATCCGCTGGGGTTAATATCACCGGTGACCACCCCAGCGAAGAGAATATTTCAAGACACATGGCGTTACAAGGCGGACTGGGACGACCCTCTGCCAACAGAATTAAAAGAAAAATGGGAAGGCTGGATTACTTCACTTAACGCCATAGAACAACTAAGAATACCGCGATGCTACGATTACAACCCGGTGTCGACGCGCCAACTACACACATTCGTCGACGCAAGCGAGGAGGCCTACGCAGCAGCAGTGTATTGGAGAACGGAGCGAGCAGACGGCAGCGTTAACATATCATTGGCCGCCGCCAAGAGCCGCGTAACACCACTGAAACCAGTTTCCATACCACGGCTCGAGTTACAAGCGGCACTGCTGGGAGCTCGTCTTGCGCAGACCGTGATCGATGAACACGATGGCGACATAGCAGGCAAGACATACTGGTGCGACTCCCGTACTGCACTGGTGTGGATAAGATCGGAGCCTCGCGCGTACAAAGCTTTCGTCGCTCATCGCCTGGCGGAGATAGAAGATACGACCAAAAAGAACGAATGGCGTTGGCTACCGTCTAAAGAAAACGTGGCAGACGACGCAACCCGAGCCACACCAGAAGGGTTCGACGAGTCGCACCGATGGTTCCGAGGGCCCCCGTTTCTGCAGCGTCCACCGGCAGAATGGCCGCAGGAAGAGAAAACGACACAATATGACACCGGGGAAGAGCGAGAAATATGTAACATCGCTGTTAAAAGTGAAGACTCGACAACAACACATCTTCCACAGATAGGAAGATTTTCTAAATGGATTCGCCTCATAAGGGCGACAGCGAGAGTCCTCCTATTCATCGACATGTGCAGACCAAACAAGCACGGAAGGCTGGGCGTAAACGCAACAAAGCAAGACAAGGTAGCGACCCTGGCTGGCAGAGAACAAACAAACGCAACACCCCCGCCAAGGAGAAAAAGGCGACTCCTACTGCCTCATCGCTTGTAGGAATACCGGCCGCTTATCATATGAGAGCCGAACAACTGTGGGTGCAAGCCAGTCAGCGGGAAAGCTTCACGAAGGAGCTCAAGAGAATCACCAGCGGAAGTGTTCCGGGAGGCGACGACAAACTAGGCCACCTGAGCACATACATTGATGAAGAGGGGACCCTACGCCTCAGAGGTCGAATAAAAGCGGCATCAGAAGTGGAGGACGACATGTACGACGCTCCCATATTAGACGGGAAGCACGCATACACTCGCCTGTACATAGCACACGTACACGAGAGGCTGCATCACGGAGGCGTGGAAACAGTTGTGAATGAATTAAGACAGAGATTGTACGTAAGAAAAATACGTCCAGTAGTGAAAACTGTCGTCAAAGGATGCCTGCCGTGCCGTCTAAGAAAAGCCAAGCCTGCATCACCGTCTACAGGAAACCTGCCGTCCGCACGCCTCGCTCATCACGCACGTCCGTTCACATACACCGGACTAGACTACTTCGGGCCAATAGAAGTCACAGTGGGACGACATCGCGAAAAGCGCTATGGCGCGTTATTTACCTGCATGACGTCGCGAGCAATACACATAGAAGTAGCCCACTCGTTGAGCGCAGACTCAGCCGTGTCGGCACTTAGGCGTTTTATGAGCAGAAGAGGATGCCCAAAAGAAATATGGAGTGACAACGCTACATGCTTCAAGGCAGCAGACAAGGAGATGGCCGAAGCAGCACTCGCAGCCCTCGAGCACGAAACCACGTGTCAACAGATTGTGTGGAAGTACATACCGCCATCAGCACCGTTCATGGGCGGCGTATGGGAGCGAATGGTTCGCTCCGTAAAAGAAGCCCTACGCGTCACCCTCAACGAGCGCTATCCCAGCGACGAAACATTGGGGACCCTGCTCGCCGAGGTCGAAAATACTGTAAACTCCAGACCTCTCACACACGTCTTAGTCGACCCAGGAGACCCTGAAGCCATCACGCCGAATCACATCCTCATCGGTCCCAACTCGCACGTACCTGCGCCGGGACACTTCAGCAAGAATGACGTGACGGCCCGCCAGCAATGGAAACGAGCTCAAGCCCTAGCCGACGTGTTTTGGAGAAGATGGGTTAAAGAATACCTGCCCCTACTCCAACACCGGCGGGAGCCCAGCAGCATAGGAGTATCGCCGAAGATTGGAGACCTAGTCATCATTTGTGACTCCAATCTACCACGCAACACCTGGCCCAGAGGGAAAATAAGTAAGGTATATCCTGGCGTCGACGGAGAGGTACGAGTAGTGGACGTAACCACCGGCAGTGGGCACATACTAAGAAGACCAACGAAGAAGATCGTCGTGCTACCAGAGGGATCGCAGCGTGGCGACGGCGGGAGAATGTGCACGACGCAACAATATTAAACAAACGAAAGAAAATGCTTATTGTAACCGGCGCTAGTTGAACAACCTAGGAGCGGTGGGCGGAGCCAGGACGACGGTGTAATTATCAGGCCACGCTTCTGGTTCGACAACTAGCAAGGGTTATACGGCGGAACTAGCGCAACCTTATGTTGAATTTAAATTATAATTTGTGTAAATAATTGTATTACTTGTATCGAACGATAAAAAATAATGATTGTATTATAACTAAGTTTAAGGTTGAGTTGTAACTGTGCAATAACTCTCCCAAATAAAGGCACCGTATGAACAGGGAGAGTTAGCATAGTCTTCAAATGAAAACTGTAATTGTTAAATATAATAAATGTTTACTTTATTATATAATAAATATATTAGGCCGTTAGGCACATAAAATGATAGTAGTAGTGTAACCAAAGAGCATGTTATCGTGACGCGGCCGCGGAGCAAATGAAGCCACGCGCACCGCGCCACGACGTTTTATATTTATAGTGCTGAGGCGGGGGGAAGGATTCTCCGCCTAAAGCAGCTGAAAATTATAATATAAACCTGTAAATAAGTAAAAATATTGATATGTACACCCTAGTCTAACAAGTAGTTATAAGAATATTATATAGTGAATTATGTTTATTAGTTTGTAAGGTTATTAAATAAATAAAGATAGGCGCGGGGGTGAGGCAAGGGTCCGCTGGCCAGCAGCGGCCAAATCATATAAAAGACGGGCCGGCCGCTAGGGTCAGCAGTCGCTCTCCAGCCACCGAAAAGGCACCAGCAAGAAAAGAAAAAGTACAAGTTCCTCCTCACCGCCGCTTGCCTCCAGTTAAAAGCAAGACCAGCGCGTTTTATTCCATTTTTCGCACGGCATTACGGCGATCCGTAATAATATATAAAACAAATATAGTTATAATATCTTACCTCATAAACATTTGGATGCCACACTTTTGTCAGGAACCTAATGGAAGGCGGAGAGTATGGATAATCAGGAGGGAATTTCATATGTGCCTGAAACAATAAGACATAGCCGTTAAAATTAAGAAAACTTAATTAAATATAATTTCTTATAAATTCATAATTTGCAAAGGTTTATAATATATAATAGCCTTTCTACACTTTTTTAATTGTGAGATATACCAAATTAGGTTCCTTATATGTTTTAAGTTTACCAAATTATATAGTAAATTCATTGTGTAATGAATAGAGAGTCGTCTAATGTTATGATTCAATTAACAAACAGCAAAATTGAGCTATTGTTGATTCAAATCCATCATTCAACTATAGTAGTAAAAGGATGAGCCACCAAACAGTGAGAAATCTATATATATTTTAATAAATATTAGTTAATTTAAAGAAAAAAAAAATGGTTTCTTATTTCTTATGTTACTTATGTGCGGTTAAGTGCCGTGTAATGGCGGTTAAGAATATCCACTACCCCATATCTTCCCGTGGGTGTCGTAAAAGGCGACAAAGGGAAACAGGAAAGAGATGGGCAGCAGCATCTTCCTGATAACACAAACTTACAGTAAAAAAAAAACTGCGGTTGCCAACCCGCTCGCCGGGCGTGGCAGCTATGGCAGATACCCCACCTATGATGAGAGTAACAAAGAGACGGTCCCCAGTCCCCGGCGGCCCCGCTATTCCTGGCTACGGTGTCAACTATGGTAACGGCGGGGCAGGGGTGCTAAGAATCTCCGGTGGAGGTTCGGTTGCCACCTAAGACGACTCGATCTGGCAACATACAACGCACGCACCCTGAGGACTGACGAGAAGATCGTGGAGCTAGAAGAAGAGATAGACTAGTTACGCTGGCATATTATAGGATTATCCGTAGTCCGAAGAGAGGGGGAGGACACGGTAATCCTCGAATCCGGCAACTTGCTCTATCACCGGGAGGGCGACCATCTGTCCCAAGGAGGTGTCGGATTTATCGTCCACAAGTCTCTCGTTAACTACGTTGTAAAGATTGAGTGTGTTGACGAGGGTTGCGTACCTTATACTCAGAATCACCAAACGGTATTCGCTGATGGTCATACAGGTTTACGCACCAACCTCGGCACACCCCGATGAGGGAGGAAATGTATGAGGATATCTCTAGAGTCATGCATTCCTCCAAAACCCACCATACGGTGTTAATGGGAGACTTCCATGCAAAACTAGGCACAAGAGAGAACGGTGAGCTGAAAGTAGGGAAATTTGGAATAGGGCAACGGAACCCAAGGGGCCAGCAGCTGCCCGACTTCATGGAGAAAGAGGGACTCTTTATGATGAACTCTTTCTTCCAGAAGCGGCCCCACAGGAAGTGAACCTGGTCGAGCCCCGACGGTTCGACAAAAAATGAGATTGACTTCATTATGACGACCAAACGACAACTGTTCAGTGAAGTCTCCGTGATCGCGAGGGTGAAAACTGGTAGCGATCACCGAATGGTTAGAGGCACACTGAACCTAAACGTTAAGTTGGAGAGATCTCGTCTTATGAAGTCAACGCTCCATCCCCCTCGTGCTCTGTTCCAAAGTCCCGAAACCTTTCGGCTCGAGTTACAAAACCGTTTTCAGTGCCTAGAAGACTGCAATAAAGTGGACGAATGACAAACTCGTGGAAACTGTCCATGCGGTCGGAGCTAAGTTCTGCAAGACCCGCCGCAGAAGAACACAAAAACTCTCCGATCACACTCTCAATCTCATGGCTGTTAGACGGGAGATGAAGCTACATTCTCCAACAGATTTGACAGCATACAGGCAACTGAACAGACAGATCTCCAAACGCATGCAGCGGGACTTACACAACTTCAATACAGCTTGTATTGAAGAGGCGATCAAGCGGAACCAAGGCTCCAAAGTCTTTGCACGAGATTTGTCTGCCAGAAAGAGCCAACTGTCAAGGCTGAAGACCGAGTGTGGCAGCATCATTTCCGGGGCACCTGAGATTTTGAGTGAGATTGAGAGGTTCAATGGGCAGCTGTACACGTCATCGTTGGAGCCACACGCAAGTGTGAGTAACGATCCAAGAGCGAGTCTTATCCGACACTATTCTGAAGATATCCCGGACGTCAGTCTGAGCGAGATTAGAATGGCTCTCCAGCACCTTAAAAACGGCAAGGCAGGCGAGGATGGAATTACAGCGGAGCTTCTGAAAGCGGGTGGAAAACCGGTACTTGAAGTTCTTCAGAAGTTCTTTAATTCCGTCCTCCATGGTGGCATTACACCGGAGGCGTGGAGCAGAAGTGCGGTGGTCTTGTTCTTCAAGAAAGGTGACAACGCTCTCTTGAAGAACTACAGACCGATTTCCCTTCTGAGCCGCATCTACGTGCTGTTTTCGAGAGTCATTACAAATCGTCTCGCGCGCAGACTTGACTTCCAGCCTCCCGAACAAGCCGGTTTCCGAAAGGGCTTTAGCACCATAGACCACATACATACCCTTCGGCAAATTGTACAGAAGTCCGAGGAGTACAATTTGCCACTGTCTGGCGTATGTGGACTATGAGAAAGCCTTTGATTCCGTCGAAATTTGGGCGGTGCTGCAGTCCCTTCAGCGGTGCCAAGTTGACTGTCGGTATATCGAAGTGCTGAAGTGCTTGTACAGTAGGGCTACGATGGCTATCAGAGTACAGAACCAGAGTACGAAACCTAACCAATAGCAGAGAGGTGTAAGACAAGGTGATGTTATATCCCCGAAACTCTTCACCGCTGCATTGGAAGACGTTTTCAAGCTTCTGGACTGGAAAGGATACGGTATCAACATCAATGGCGAGTACATCACTCATCTTCGATTTTCCGACGATATAGTCCTAATGGCAGAATCGCTGGAGGACCTAAGCACCATGCTCAATGACCTCAATATTGTCTCCCAACGAATAGGTCTTAGAATGAACATGGACAAAACAAAGATCATGTTTAATGTCCACGTCACACCTATGCCGGTATTTTTTGGGAGCACTAAGCTCGAAGTTGTTGACGAGTATGTTTACCTGGGACAAATAGTCCGACTAGGTAAGTCCAACTTCGACCGAGAGGTCAATCGACGGATTCAACTCGGCTGGGCAGCGTTCGGAAAACTACGACACATCTCGTCAGACATACCTCAAAACCTTAAAAACGAAATTGTACAACCAGTGCGTGTTGCCAGTGATGACTTACGGATCTACGACGTGGTCCTTCACTGCTGGCCGTATGAGGAAGCTCAAGGTCACTCAGCGAGCTATGGAGAGGGCTATGCTCGGGGTTTCTCTGCGTCATAAACTTAGAAATGAGGATATCCGCAGTAGAACCAGAGTAACCGACATAGCCCAACGGATTAGTAAGCTGAAGTGGCAGTGGGCCGGCTATATGGCTCAAAGAACCGACAACCGATGGGGAAGAAAGGTTCTTGAGTGGCAGCCTCGTACCGGTAGGTGAAGTGTAGGGCAACCCCCCACGAGATGGAGTGACGACCTGGTAAGACATGTAGGAAGTCGATGGATGCAGGTGGCTCAGGACCGTGCTTTGTGGCATTCCTTGGGGGAGGCCTATGTTCAGCAGTGGACTTATGAAAGGCTGTAATGATGATGATGATGATGTTACTTATGTATATAACTCGATATCATGTTCTTATTCTTTACTTTTTTATGTTATGGCTTCACTTATTAGATTTTTACCAGTCAAGTCAGTTATGGGAGTGACAACAAAGTAAATAAAATATTGTCCTTTATAATTAGTTTTTTTTTTGTTAGAGGCTTCTAATCAAACCTTTTTTTAGCTACTCAAAAAAGAATTCTACCAACTTCATGTCAGCCATGGAAGTGATAACAAAACCATATTGTACATTTAATGTTAACAAACTTTTTGATTGAGAATCCCAAATCTAAAACAAAAGACAAAACCATAATAGAGGATCTATCACCTCTGTTAGACATATTTCAGTATTTTAGGTTATTAGTATGTATAAAATCACACAAAACATTTATAAGAAGTGCAAATATTAAACTAAATGTTCAGGTGTTCCCTCATCAAGCCCACATTTGCAAATAGAACTGTTCTTGATCCTCAACTTTGCAAGATGTGTTGGTATACAGGTATCGCCAAAATGTAGGAGACAGATAGTAGAAGTTGTTTGTTTATTCACTAAGTGGTGATAGAAAAACCAAGGTTTAACAGGGATATTGTTCTGGACATAAGCATAATATTTACTTGTGACAAGTTTCACCAAGAGTTTTGAGAGATCTGAATTAGACATTATGAGAGACATTAGAGATTTCACAAGATACTTAATAATGAATTAATGTTTTACTTATGATATTCAGAGTATAGAATAGCCTCAAGAATAGCCAAAGATTCAACCCTATAAATGGATGAATTGGGAGGACATTTGTATCTTAAAACAATTTTGTACCTAGGAATACTGTTGGATTCTGTTGCCTCTATGTACACTGTACATAATCAAGTAGTCAGACCACCTTTCTAACACGTTTTTTTTACCTTATTATTAGCCTCAATTGTGTTTTTATTAATACCTAAGTCTATAATTATTATATGAGTTAGGAAAATCAATGCATCGAAGGGAAACGTAGTGGGGGTTTTTGGCGGTTTGGGTAGTTGGAGAACAAATCTTCATAAATTTTAGATAACTCTTCAGTAAAAGTAAAGCCGGATCTAATGTCAAAAAATTGTGGGACGTAGTTAGTCTCAACATAAACAAACCTAAGCCGAAAAACATAGCTTTACATCTTCTCTCCACTGACTTTACACCACAATGTGCTGTCGACTCTGTCAATAATTATTTTGCCAATGTAGGCGCTCGTCTTGCCCAAAAAATACTTTCCAAGACACTTGCTGCCCCTATTGTGACCCATGCTTCATCAGCTTCTTCTTTTGTATTGCTTGAGACAGATGAAGAGAAAGTGGAGCGCATTACTATGTCCCTATAAAGTCGAGCTTTGGGATGGGATGGCATATCATCTGCCATATTAAAACAGCATAAAAATATCCTTATTCCATACATTACACGCATTTGTAACTTATGTTTGTCGC